ACCCCACCTCGACGCCGGAATGGGCTTCTGCGCCGGACGCTAGCGATCCTCCGACAAGCCCCAAGTCGACGGCAACAGCGCCTCATCACCACCATCATCATCGCCAGCAGCAGCAACAGCATAACTCGGACTACATGTACCAGGCTATCAGAGCGACGGCCATCGTGTACAGCCGGGCCATCATGAACCGAACCCCGCTGAGCGTGGCCTGCACGCAGCCCGAATTCCTGCAGATATGGGCAACGGTGTGGCGTGTACCCCTGTCGGCGTGGAATAGCTCAGTGGGCACCTTTCACTGGATCATGCTGGCCATTGCGCCAGCGTGCCACACGACACCGCATGGGCGTTTTGTCAAGAACATGCTCATGGTCAGCACTCTTGCGCTCGGGGTGGACAACTGGGCGGTGGCTATAGGCGCTGCGAAGGCCGGTCTCAAGCTGCAGCACTGGCTGAAAGGCCAAGACGCGGAAACGGAGAGCGAGGAGGGTGCGGAGGAGGACGATGGAGAGGGGCAGGGAGACGGCGGCGGACGAGGAGGAGGGAGGTGGCGCTCCGGGCGCGAAGAGCGGTGAATGGGAGGCGTGTACACGGCCAAGATCTCTTCCTCCTTCTTGTGCTTGTGTGTGTGTGTCTTTCTTCCACGTCCTGTAGGGACACGTCTCTGGGTGTATGCGGATGCGTGTTCGACGGCAGCGAATCATGGATATGGCTGAACGAAACGGACAACGGCCGCAACATGCAGGACAACGAAACTAAACCGACAACGAGACAGACAGAGATTTGCGAGGTGGAACAGTCCGCATCCACTCGCGAGCGGGTTACTCTCTACAGCATGACGTTTTCCGGCATAAGAGCCCTGGACATTCGTCTGCAGCCTATTTGCATTTGGAGGCACCTCTCTGGGATTCCCAGGCATTGCGACTTGCCACGAGGTGTTGAAGAAAAAAACCTACTTGATCTACTTTGCCGGCGGCAAAGCAAAGAGATGCGGTTTGTCCAGGGGCCCGCAAGCTGGCCAATGCAAATGAGGGGAATTCATTGCTGCATGAAGAGTGACATGAGCAAGAACAGCGAAGAATGAACAGGGCAGGGCAGCGGCAAGGTTCAGGGAAGTTTTATTTTATTTTTGTTCTTCTGTATTTCGGGAGGAGGGGGGCGTCACGATGCTATGGTTGCGTTGGAAGGCTGCTCACAACGTCGTCATTACTCCCCGTTGACCATCCCTACGATCCGACTTCCGAAATTACTCCTGGGGAAGCGCTTGCACCTTCCGCGGGCATAGCGACAGCATGATAGACGAGGATGGCTGGACTGCAACTGCTGAAGACGTTGCGAAAGAGACGGTGGTTGGAGGAAGACAGCACCAGCAGGGAGGGGAAGGGGTGAGGAGCCGGGGAGGAGGCTGCGTCTGGTCTGTTGTGTTGCTGCGGCTCTGAACTCTAAAGAGTGGGAAATGGTACAAGGCCTCATCCCCCCTCCCCTTTCTCTCTGCTCTGCGTTTTCGTACCACCCCTGTTGTGGGAGCTCCTCAAAGTTCCAGCGTGCGAGGAAAACCCAGGAGCGGGCGCCAACGGACGAGTTCTCTCCTGACAGTTCAGGCCGATACGACACTGTCCACGTTTTTGACGGCAACATGTAACTCGCCACGGCCGGGATGAGCAACGTTCGGGGCCCCGTGAAACGGGCGAGGAGGCCTGGCTCAGGACAGAACGAAGGGAGGTGTGCACCGCGGGCGTCGTCCGTTCGCCCTGCGGGAGCCACGTGGATGTGCCAGAAGCTGCACTGAAGAACCTAAACTGTTTGACACCGTTTCTGGCTAACAGGTACCGCTCCCACGGGGAGGGTAATGCCGCAGAGGAGCTTGTCGTCCGGTCCGGTTGTGGTCCGGTTGTGGCCATGTGTGTTCAGGTTTGTTTGTGGTGGCACTGGTGGATGCATCAACGGTCGTCGGTACGGTGGCTGTTGAGACGGCGGATGAGGGGCTGAGCAAGCAAGTGTCTCCATCTTCGTGTCTGACAATCGTTATGGCCTCACGTCGGAACGGTTGCAAGTGGAGGCGTACCCGTACCCGGATGCCTGCCCGCACGCCCGTCGTCTGCGCCGGTAGCGCACTGCACCTCCCTTCCGGCCGGCCGTTCTACTGGAGGCTCAGCGACGTGCGCATACTCCGCCGGTCCGGCCACTGGCGTCTCTCATCTCTCAACCGCCCGCAGCAACATGAAAGCTTGATGTCAAAGTTGCAAGGCTTTAAGGTATGGCGGCGTCGATCCCGAATGTCCGCTAGAAAACCTAGCCAGGGAGAACCCGTTCAACTGTACAGAGATCCGACGGGATCGGTCTTCCGGCAACGGTTTGGAGGGGTTGAAATGGAAGAAACAGAGATGATAGCAGCATGCAGCTATGCGGTATGGAAGTGCGGTGCCGCAAAGTGGTGTGATGGGCGAGAGTGAGTGTCAAGCACGCAGTGTAGCGTATCGTAGAGCAGGGAATAGCAACACAAGGAAGGACATTTGTGTTCCATGGTATAGGATGGCAGGGATGGCAGAGCGGTTGTACTCTACATAGCGACATTTTGCCCGACTCAAATAGCGATGATGAAATGGGTGGTGTTCGTCGAGGCCCAGTCCCGGGCAGTCGAGGATCCCCAGATATGCATTAGAGTTTAGAACCACGTTCCACAGCATGTTTCGAACGAATTCCTTTCCAATCAAAGAACCGAGCTACTACCACGCAGGGCGTCTGCAGCCTCTCACATCCTACCTCTGCAAAGATGTCAATAGACTTCAGTCAGCTTTGGTTTGTACCTTGCGTGAAAGGCAAGGAATCTACCTTGCGTTGCTACTATGCGGGCTGTGATGGGCGATCAGAATGGCATCTTTCTTGTCGCTCATCCACTGGGCAGGCGTTGAAGAGCGGGCAGGGTCCGTTCGCTTTGAATTTTGGCTTCTGCACTGCAGCTCTGGTTAGCTACCATACCCGCAAAACTCGACAATATGAGATCTGAATGACGATTCCATGCATGCCATGCCAGTGGTATGCTTTTTTTGCTTGCAGCAACTGGGCTTGCATTTTACCCGACTCGAGTCTCCAGTTGCCATGAAAGCCATCCATATTATGCCGCAGGTCAAAGGCAAACTGAGTTGAACTCAACTCAAGTAGCCTCGTGTCGCATTGGACTGAGCCGTTGTTCCTGGCATCTCCTCGCGAGTCACCCCGACTCATGAAAGACACAAAAGGGCACCTTTCGTTAGTCGTGTCGTCTCTATCTATTGGCCATCACCAAGTCGTTCAACATGTGTTGGATGCCACATCTAACCGGTGCCAGGACTAGTCGGGCTGTTTTCGAGAAGTTTCCGCAGCGAAACCTTCCATATCTTGGTTTAGCGAACTACTCGGCTCTCATGACTGGAGATGGCCATATTGGGTGTCCGTGGTCGCAGGCAAGTGGTGTGCCGCCGCAAGTGCAAATGTTGCCCTGCGTGTGCTTCCTGTAGATCTCACTTACTTCGAGAACCCGCCCCTCGCCGTTGCGCTTTGACACCCCGACCATGGCCTCTTTTTTGTCCTCTTTCGGTCAAGGTTCTTCTAGACTGGCTTCCAAGACGATTCCATTCGTTCTATTCGTTCCACCACGACTCTCGCGTCGATGCAAGCTGGAGACTTGTTTTCTTTCATGTGTCTGTCGTGGTCTTGCGTTTTTTTCTCGGTGATCGTCTTCAGATGAGCTCAGTGTGGGACCGGTACTTGAGCGCCGGGACCTGAACAAGTCTCTCAGTGGCGGACGGTACACGTCTCTGGAGTGCGGCTGCGATGCAGTACGTCTTGAAGAATTCAGAGCAATGCCACTGGCCGATAAGACGACACCCCCTCTCGTCTCGTCTCTCGCTCTCCACTCGGCCGGTGGGTTTGGCTCCAACACCGGTGTCGGCCATCGACCGCATGGTCACCGACCGCCTTGGCCGCCGGTGCCGCTGCTGAGGTTCGGTGCCAGGTGGGTGGTCCTGCTGCTGCCGCTGAAGTCTTGGCCCGTGGAAGAGATAACAGAACATCGGGTGAGATAAGAATTCTGCACCGAATGTCTGTTCTCTCCTTGTCTTGGTCTAGCGTAGCGAACCCCATAGCCCATAGATCCGAGATTGGCATTTCTGGGGCAAGCACTGCGGCTCTCTGACGCAACCGTTCTTCAATGTTAAATGTCGCCGCATTGCAATGAAAATTCGAAGCCAAAGGAAGCAGAGTCGCAGCAACTGCGCAGCGTGCCGACCGCCTGCTCGTTCAAGGCATCCAACTTCATGTATTGCGTCAGTTCGGATGGGCCGTTTGCCGTGCGCCACATGAAGCAGCCACTCAGAGCCATCGATCCGTTGTCTATCGTCTTTTCGCACGTGTAGACCCTCGCAAGCGTGGAAATAAAAACGTGTCGGCCGAAATGCACACTTATCACTGCCCAATCTCGAGCCGTCGTTTGAGGGGATCTCCCCGCGCAGAACCGGCCGGGCTTGCCTCGCCAGAGGCGTTGAAAGTCAATTCTTGGCCATTGAGCGGTCAAGTTGCTGCGTCGCAAGTGCCAATTGGCTCATGTCAGCTATCTCATACTTCACCTCAGGATTTGAGACGAGCTTGTGATGGAGGGGAACCCTTAGATGGAGTTTGGGGAAATGCCGTATACAATGCTAGGGCTTTTCTCGCCGTTTTTCCTCGTCGATATCTTGACCGTCTGAACCTTCGTTCCCTCCTATTCTTCTCAGAAACTCACGAGATTCGCCAGCTACTCATTGGTGCTGAGATAAACACATGCTTCGGTCTGTCTCATCCGTTTCGTGCGACGCTTCACTTGACTCGTGCTCTCGGCCGGTTTGGCGTGTTTCTGGAAAGGCTCGGTTTCTTGGGTATCTGGACAATTGCGAATCAACCTTCGGCTCCGGGGCCTCGACGAATACGACAATAGCCCACAGTCAGTGAGTGTCGATCAAATGCCGGACTCGTCGTCCTCCGAGACAATGGCAACAACACCGCCGCTCCCCTCCGAAACCACAGCTCTCCTCCGGAAGCCACCGGGCTCTGCCTCCGATGAACCTTCCCAAATCCGGCAATGGGTGGCCGAGATCTTGCTGCTGGCCAAGGCCGCAGTTCCGGTCATCTTGGCTTATACGCTGCAGAACAGTCTGCAGACTATCAGTGTGCTCATCGTGGGTAGATTAAGTCCAGAGGCTCTCGCGACCGCGGCCTTCAGCTACATGTTCGCTATGGCCACCGCATGGCTCATTGCCCTTGGTGGAACGACGGCGCTCGACACGCTTGCATCTAGTAGTTTTACCGGATCGACCAATAAGCACGATCTGGGCATTCTGCTGCAAAGGGGCATCATTGTCCTGTCGGCATTTTATGCAGTTGTAGCAGTGCTATGGTGGTTTTCCGAGCCAGTCTTCCGGGCGTTGGGTCAAGAAGAGTTCATTTGCGTGCAGAGCTCAAGATTCCTGCGGTGCCTGATCCCTGGCGGACTGGGGTATGTCTGGTTTGAGGCTATGAAGAAGTACTTGCAGGCGCAAGGTGAGTCGTTACCTCATCTCATGGAGAAAAGCGACGGTTGCTGATGTCTGAGTAATAAGAAATCTATCGGCCGGGAACATATGTGCTGTTCATCACGTCGCCGATGAATGCCGGGCTCAACTATCTCTTCATCCACACGCTAGGCCTTGGTTTGTACGGCGCGCCTCTCGCCACGGGCATCTCGTACTGGATCTCTTTCCTGCTTCTCGTGGCGTATGCGGCGTTCGTGCGTGGCAAAGAGTGCTGGGGCGGGTTGCAAGTGCGAAAGGCGCTGAAGAACGTAGGACCTTTTGCGAAGCTGGCAATCCTGGGGGTGGTGCACGTGGGAACGGAATGGTGGGCGTTTGAGATCGTGGCGTTGGCAGCGGGAAGGCTGGGTACGATTCCGCTGGCGGCGCAGTCAGTCATCATGACGGCGGACCAAATCATCAACACGATCCCGTTCGGGCTCGGGGTTGCGGCGTCGGCTCGACTCGGCAACCTGCTGGGGGCGCAGAAAGCTCGGGATGCAGCGCGGGCAGCACACGCTGCAGCAGTGTTGTCGGTGATACTTGGGACGTTGGTGCTAGTGGTGCTGATGGCGACGAAGGATGTTTTCGGGCGTATTTTCAACGACGACGAGAGAGTGATCCGGCTGGTGGGCGAGGTGATGCCGTTTGTGGCTCTGTTCCAAATCGCCGACGGGCTTAACGGGTCGTGTGGTGGTGCGCTTCGCGGGATGGGACGGCAGTGGGTTGGGGCTGTGGTGAACCTCGTCAGCTACTATGGCGGGGCACTACCGGCCGGGATTTACCTCGCGTTCCACGGCTGGGGACTCGCCGGTCTGTGGATTGGACAGTGCGTTGCCCTGTATCTCGTCGGCGCCCTCGAATGGGTTATTGTTGGATTCAGCAAGTGGGACAAGGAGTGCCAGCGAGCGTTGGATCGCCTTGATGATAGCAGTGACGGAGAAGGCGATGCTCCCGACGACGAGGCCGTCTAGGCAGAAGGTGTTGGTCAGGCATGGATGCGAATTGGATGTACATAGGGACAAATCGATTTGTCTGGGTGGCATTGGTGTTGTTGGTGTTGAACTGCTGGCAAGGTGTTTTTTCCACCGTCTCGAGTAAATAGTTGATTTTGGAATGACCCATGACAAAAGAAGCAATCCCCAAGGATTGGCTGAGAAGTAGAGTAAAAAGCACGAACAAACTAGATGATTACTGTGCAATTCGGCGAACTGATGGCGAATATTCACATCGTTTGCTAAAGAGTGAGGTATTGCTATCCAGCCAAGCAACCAACATACTGAGGTGGGTAGGTAGATGCCTGCGTGCCCGCGTGCCTTCCTCTCAGTCTGGGCATCCCAACTGCTAAACCTTCCTAGAGCAGTCTAGACTCCTCCGAGCTCCTGCGGGGCAGTTGTGTCACTGAACACCAGTTGCGCCTGGACCCCGCCATCAACCCCACTATCAACGCAGTGCTCTCCAGGCATTGGAGGGGACTGACGATGATGGCATTTGTCCGACAGTTCGAGCCACGGTAATGGAGACGAAGAGAGGCCCTTTCCATCCTTTTGCATCAGCCTAAATAAATAGGAAGCACATCGCGAATAAGACAAGTCCAATTTCTCCTCTTTTCACGCATTGCCCAAACATTTCCGTCTCGTCCACCACCAACTTCAAGCAAGGCAGACGTCTTCCCCTCCGAATACCTGCACCATCGCGTCAAACTCGTCATCATGGCACCCATCGGAATTGCGATTGTTGGGGGTGGGATTTTCGCCAAGGAACAGCATTTGGTGAGTCGTCCAAAGAGACTCTGGGCCTATCTTGCACGAAGAACCTTGCTCACTGACCTTACCAACAGCCCGCTGTGGAGGCGAGCGACCAACTGGAACTCAAGGCCATCTATTCGAGGTCTCTCAAGTCGGCCAAGGACACAGCAAGCCTGGCCAACAAGTCTGGAGCTGCGCCCGACCTGTACTCAGACGACTCGGGTGCTGGCAAGTCCTTCAAGGACCTCCTTGCCCGCGACGACATCAAGGCTGTCATCTTGGCCTTGCCCATCCCGAACCAGCCTGAGTACATTGAGCAGGCCTTGGCCGCTGGGAAGCATGTTCTTGCTGAAAAGCCCATCGCCGCCGACGTCGCTCGTGCCCAGAAGCTAATCGAGTACTACAAGAAAGTGTCTGCCGAGAACGGCGTTACCTTCGCCATCGCCGAAAACTATCGTTTCCAGCCGCGCTTCACCACTGCACGGGACGAGGTGCAGAAACTAGGCAAAGTTACTGGCTTCAATGCCAGAGTCTTCTTCTTCGTCAAGCTAGGTGGCAAGTACATTGAGACGGCATGGCGCAAGAAGCCTGATTACCAGGGTGGTTTCCTTCTGGACGGTGGCGTCCACTTCGCTGCTACCGTGCGTCTACTTCTCGGTACTGAGGCCGCCCCGGAGTCGGTCGCCGCATTCTCGGACTTGACCCGGCCGCACCTTCCGCCCATTGACACCATCAACGCCGTCATCAAGACTCGCTCAGGCGCCACCGGGTCTTTCGCCGTCAGTGTCGGCTCTTCACTCAGCGCCTTTGACTTCGAAGTGGCGTGTGAGAATGGCAGTGTCACAGTCTCTGGCCACGAGCTTATTGTCAAGCCCTTGGATGGCGAAGCACGGACAACCCAGTTTGAGCAAACGACAGGTGTGAAGGAGGAGGTCAAGGCATGGGCCGAGGTCCTGGTCTCGGGCAAGCCGAACCCGCTGCAGTCGACTGACGAGGCGCTGGCGGACCTGGAGTTCCTGGAGAAGATATTTAAGAGTGGTGAACAGGACGGAACGCGTTTGAAGTTGGAGTTGCAACTGTGAGAGGGGCCTAGCTAAGGCAGGTGGTGTGCGGGTGAGATAAGCTCTGTACGTTTGTGGGTGGGTGACAGAGTTCAATTTAGAGCTTGTTTTCCTTGGTTTCCACCACGAGAATTCGCTCCAAGCCTCTCCGCATTTCATCACTCATTCCAGATGCGGTTGGCCGGCCGGTAGATCTCTGGACAAAGACGTGAACAAATTCTCCGACGGCTCTCACCTCATCCAGGCCTTTCTCAAATACGGCGATTTCATAAGTCACGCTTGATTTACCCAGCTTGTTGACCCGAAGAGCTACTTCCGCAACCGCGGGGAAAGAGATGGACGCAAAGTAATCACTGTGTGAGTGTACCACGAGGCCGTGCTGCTCGGAGCCTGAGGGCGACAGGCCGCAATGCTCAATCAGGTATGTGTTGACGACGGAATCGTATCTGCAGCCTTTAGCTAGAGCGCCTCAAGGACACAAGTGTGTTGGGTTCGGAGCCATACAAGAAGTTGTAAATGCTGTTGTTCATGTGTTGATACATGTCATTATCGGCCCTAGGAAACCTTGTTATTGACTGCCCAGGCAGTGAGAATGATACTATTGCATTGTGTGAGAGATGAGATGTGACGATGGAAGGATGACGGGCGCACAAACACAGCCGTCGGCTTGAGGCAGACGCTTTGGTCCGGAGATATGGCGACGCGGCAAAGCGATGGTTCGTCGCAGTGGCGCCGGCGCCGGGGAACCTTTGCAAGGGACAGGCTCCCTCCATCCATGCCCACCAACTGGCTTGATGTCGGCAGAGAGGAGGGCGAATGATGTGGAGAGAAGCAGCAGCGCCAGGCATGAAAATCACTGCAAGGAAGCAACAAGCTCACCATCGTGTTCGATAGTCCAAAATATAGCGGTAATCCTCCCTTCGACGCCCCTTTAGCTTCTCGAAGCTGGCCATGTTTCGCTGCCTGATGGAACGGAAACGAGGAGATGGGTGCCCGGAGCTTGAGCTTTACGCAGTAAGGCAAGGCAGGTAGATGGGCGGGTATTGCTTGCCCGAGAGATGTGAGATAGAGGTCTTCAGGGCTGACGACGAAAGATGTGCCGGCCGTGAAGTAAGCGATGAAGTCTGCACCGGCTTAAATTGTGTAGCTTTGGTGATCATTGAGTTAAGATCATTGAGTTAAGGCCAAACGTGTTCGTTTTTAAGCCTTGAAGGAGGGGGAGCTCTTGTGGCTCTAAACTAATGTGTGCGGAGAAGCTGTCCGAGGATCTAGAATCGATCTCACTTCATACCGAGGCAGGCATGCAATGGCCGGTTGAATGCCACACTGCCCACACGAGGGCTAATTAGCACTGTTGGTTACATTGGCGGGCGGGCGGCGGCGGCGGCGACCTCGTAAGCCCATCTACATTGATTACATAAACAGACACGTCTCAAGCTTGACCTTGAGTCTGGCCAATCACGCTGTTGCCGATCCTCAAAGTCCAGAGGAGGATGAGAAAAAAAAAAGTACAGCAAAGTTCTGCCACGTCTGACCGCCAGCAATTTTGTGACTCTTAGATACATCTGGTCAACGTACACAGAGCGAAGTATACCTTCGGGATTCCGCGAGCTGTGCGGGGAGAACTAACAACAAGTTCTTTCTTCTCAAAGCTCGACATTCCTCGCCAACCAGTCGCCGACAGTTTCGAGGAAAAAAGACACACACCCTTCTCGCTCATACGCCCGCCACTCCGCCCCCTGCTGCATCTCCTCCTGGCAGTTGACCTCCCCCGGCCTATCAACACTGGCTACCATCAGGCAGTCTGTCCTTGTGCCCTTGGCGAGGCTATCTTCTCGACTGGGCTTCTTCTCTTCTTCTATGGCTTCCCAGCAGACGCAGGAGGAAGCGGCGGCGGCGGCGCCATCTGCAGCTCCCGTCGCTGTCCCTGCTGCCACCACCACTGCTATTGTCGTCCAGCCTCCAAAACCCAAGCCGGCTAAAGCTCCAGAGGCAGACGAGTTGCCTGATGTGATCACAACTCCTGTTGGCGACATGTGGCCGCGGCCTTACTTCTTTGAAGGCGGCTTTCGCCGAGTTGCTCCTTATCACTTCACCTACCGCACCAACGCCAAGCAACGTTGGCGTGGCCGGAAGCTAATCGACATTTACGAAGATGAATTCAGAGACCGCACGGTAGAGTACTATCGTTGGGCAATGGAGACCGGGCGAATTGTCGTCAATGGAAAAGCTGTCGGCCCGGATCACTTGGTTAAGAACGGCGACGTGGTGAACCACACCATTCATCGTCATGAACCCCCTGTCACAGCTGAGCCAATCCGTGTTATTCACGAAGATGATGACATGATTGTTGTCAACAAACCCTCTGGCGTGCCGGTGCACCCTGCTGGAAGATACATGTACAACTCGCTCATCGAGATCATGAAGTCTGAGAGAGGCGAGCACTTTGTGCCTTACCCGTGCCATCGCCTAGACCGCCTCACCAGTGGCCTCATGTTCATCGGGAAAAACCAGCCCGCTGCCGTCCGACTATCCGACCAGATTGTAGCCCGCACGGTACGCAAGGAATACCTGGCACGTGTAATTGGAAAGTTTCCCGATGGCGACGTTGTCTGCGACCAGCCTGTCCTTCAGATATCCCCGAGACTTGGACTCAACAGAGTTCGTGCCAATGGCAAGTCGGCACGGACCGTCTTCAAGCGTCTCGCATACTACTCGCCCGAAAACCCAAGTGCTACGACGACCACCGAGGATCGACCAAAAACGCCGGAAGAGCTCGAGGCAGAAAGGCATCGACCTTGGCTCAACAAGGAGGGCTATTCAATCGTTCGTTGTCTGCCACTGACAGGCAGGACACACCAGATCCGTGTGCACCTCCAACATCTGGGGCATCCAATCCAGAATGACCCTCTATACGCCAATCAGCGCGTCTGGGGCATCAATCTTGGACAGAACGACAGTGAAGCACTCGAGAACACTGACGAGGACATCATGGCGCGGCTGGAGAGGATGGGAAAGCAAGACGTAGCGGACGCAGTGGCCTATCACGATGAAATGGTGGACCTGTACCAAAAGCGAAGGGCGGAAAAGCTGTCGGGCAAGCTCTGCGAGATCTGTGACACTCCTCTGTACACCGACCCGGGCCAGCATGAGCTGTCCTTGTGGCTTCACAGTCTCCGGTACGAGGACGCCGGAGGAGCATGGAGCTATGTCAGCCCGATGCCGGACTGGGCCCTTCCTCCGGAGGGCACCAGCGGGCCTACGGAGGTCGGAGGAGTGGAGGAATTGGTGGAGGTGGTCAAAGATGAGCCTGAAATATGCTGAGCAGTATGCTGCGATGTGCGATTTGCGGTTGCAGCTTTCCATGGCACGAACGAACTCACTGCGGGACCGGACGGACCGATTGACCCCACCGAAATCTTGCATATGATTGACTTTGGACGGTGTGATCATGGAATTGATGGAAATACCCTGTGACTTTGAGTGGGATAGTCATTGAGAAATTGCGACATTCTTTGGTTCTTGCTGTACGATTGCGCGACTACCTACATGAGTTTATGCGCCGCTGGCTGGACATAAAGAGGTGGTCGTAGATACTTGTCTGATAGACTTACGTGCGTCTCGATAGAAATCGATGTTGTACAGGCATTCCGCAACTAAGGTACGGAAGTTCCGCACCATGGAATGGCCGCCTGGTGCCCCCAGTCTGCAGCGCCGAAGGATTCGTCTGGCAAGGGTGATTGGACTGCCCGTAAATGGGATCTGCCGCGGCGCCGACATCTCCGCTGACCGTAGGCTCGGAGATGCCAAGAAGCGGACCCTGTTAACCTTTATCTTTTCTTTTTTCACTGTTTGTTTTTTGACCCCTTCCTTTTCCCTCCCCCCATCTTCTCGGAGCGAGATCCGCAATGGCTGAGCAGACTGTTCATTGGTTAGTTGGTGAGAGAAAAGCGGCCATCGTTGGGCTGCTAGCGCCTTTCCTGAAGATGGAGACCCGAACCAGAAAAAAGACAAGGAAGTATTTTGCAGGCAACGGTACCTTGGAGAGGTACTTTTGCTCGTCGGCAGACTGCCGTCTCCCACAATCCATCCACTGGCCTGAGGGACCCGACCCGACCTGAGCTGAGCTGACCGCTCCCCGTTCTCCTCCTCCGTTCTCAGCTGCACCTGGCCTGGCACCCCCCACCATCTGTCCGTCCCCCCATCCTCCCCCCATCACTAAAACTCGAGATGCCCGGCAGAGACCTGGCATTGCGCCGGACCATGCAGCAGGCCCTGCTGGTGCCCCGAAGGTATGGGGCCTTGCCGTCCAGTCCCTCTTGGAGTCCCTGAACTTGAGGGGAACAATAGAGGAGGAAACGAAACATACAAAGACCAGCTTTCTGAGTCAGAAATGACAAAACAGAAATCCAAATGGGATAATGCGCCGAAGGCACGGCATCCAACGGGGGGGTACATAACCCCGGACCGGCAGTGCTCAGCCCTCCCCGAAATAACTAAAATGCTCGCTGATTCCGGATGCCCTCTTTGTCGACGCCTTTCGCAGCTCATCGCCGTGGCCGAAACCCTCGTCCTCCATCCAGAATGAACGCCTTATGACATAGCTCGAACCGATCGCCATCCCTGACAATATGTGTGCATCCACGGGGACCCGGGACGATGCGCATCGTACGACCAGAGCGTCGGTACGGATATTCACGATTACGATTACCTTCTGGATCATCCGCCGTGCCGTGGGGGAGACGACCAACAAGCGAACGAGGGACGGGAGCGACAAACAAATCGAGACAAGATTGGATTGGGCCGACCAGCCGAGCGAGCTGGCACAGGCACAGGATGGGATGCTTTATCCCCGCGTAATTGGAGACGGCGACACCCACTGACAGCTGGGAACACTCGCCGGGCAACGTGGTGCCTGGATACTAACACGAAGGAAGCGCAGATCGGAAATGCAAAAAACCTCGACGCAGCCCAAATATTCTTGACGTTGGACAAATTTACCGTGCCGCAGAGAGGGCGAA